ATCGAAGTAGGGACCTACTAGGTTGAGCAAAATTGTTGTTTTGATTTTAAAAACATTCCATTGTTGTTAAATTGAGTGATTGGCCATTAAATTTGAAGATAATTTAAAGGTATACTAAATGTTTTAAGTGCAGCAGAAACAGAGCTTTATAATCATTAGGAACCTATGTCCACAAGTAATCCTGAAAAAATGTGTATTACAACAGTATGTATTCATAGCAGTAGGCAGAATAAGCGGATGGTATAAATGTGGAAGTTTTATAAAAGATCATTTTTAAAAATCGTTTCCTATTTATTAGGCTTGATTAATAAAGTAATACTGTATATATATTTTATTGTTCTATGTTTTAAATGTTAGAGCTGCACACCTTGTGAATGGGGCATAGCACACCAATATTGTATGCGGGTGTGTACATATGGATATATAGTATACCAGTCCGTCCTCCAATTCGAGACCCTCTAATTCCGAGACCCCTCTTACCAACTGACCACCTATCTTTTAATGCTGAGGTTAACCTCTAATTATGAGACCACTCTAATTCAAGACCGAGACCACCTTTATAGAAGTACCAAGTGACAAAATGACCTCCAATTGAAGACCAGATTTAAAAATAAAATCAAAGAGATTCAAGTTCTTTTTTAAGCAATAAATACTCTTTAATTTTAAAAATTGAACTTCAAAAATGATATCATGTATTTTCATAAATTTATCCATATAAATGAAAGTTTCTTAAGTGTATTGTCTTTGAAAAAGCTAATTTTAAAAAAAGAAATTTTAGTTTTAGGCCACTGGCTGTCATGATATATTCAGTAAATGTTTTACGATCTGTTGGCACCTATTACCAAAACTGCTGTTAAATCAGCTGCTTAATTTGATGCAATCTTATTTTTCTGATTTTCTTCTTTAGCCTTTCAATTGCTGCACTATCCCTATGCCCTGTAGTCAAGGGGGAGGGATAAAGTCCCCTTCGTGTTTTCCAACAAATGCACATGTTTGCATATGTTTTAACAGACTTGTTTTGTTGGACCTTATAGGAAAGCAACAAATTCAAGTGGCGTGCGTTAGTGGAAAGGTCCATTGTTTAGTTACTTTGTATTGAGTGTGTGTTTCAAAATATTATATATTTAAAACCGTTGTACATAAAAAGTAAAAGCACTTAAAAACTATAAACAAAACCAAATATAACAAACTTGAATAATTATTATCGTTGTTAATGTTATTGCTGTTTATGTTGTGGTTGGCAACTAGTGGAGGTGTTGGTGTTAAAGTAGAACAGTGTTTTATCTAGGATTCTTGATTAGGGCTCTATGATTAAATGAGGGGTATTAGCTCACAAACCATGGTGATATAAGGCCATTAGTTAAGGCCAATATGAAAAAAAAACGATCTTAGACGACATGATGACGTCATTGGTTTTATCAAGTTAACTGCATAAAAGCGTGGTTAAATGCCAAGGGTAGGCATATCAGCTTACTTTGAATTTTATCCATATTTACAGTTCAATTGCTTTTTTCCAGAGTCAAAAAAATATATAATACATCGAGCACAAAATATTTATCGTGAATACCTTTGATTACAGACTGTTGATGATGTAACAGTTAAGACTTTGCCCTGTGTTTTTATTGGTACTTTTCAAAATTTCCTGGACGAGTCCCACAAAACCACAATGTAAACGTACGTATATATGTGTTTGTGGGTCATGCGTGTATTTTCCGCCCTTTTCTATTTGGTCAGTTCATGAATTTGATATTTGGAAAGGTCCATTAGTGGTACTCGGAAGGGGAAATGATGGTTCGTGCATGAATGGTTAAAGAAGCATTATTAAGAGAAAAAAAAAACAATAACAACCATTACGTTCACATAATTTGAGAAAGATTTATTTATTTTAGTTTCATTACGTCATGATTAAACAACTTCTGTACTACATATTTGCTGATAAACACTGGGAGAATAGATGTTCGGCCACTAATAGCATTGTTGATAAAGTACCACTGAATATTTATGGTTTAATCGGTACTATATAATGTGAAGAAAGAGCAAATTCACAAAGTTGAATTATGCTATTTTGTTAGTTATATAGTAGGCCTAGGCTATTATAGTTGTAACGTATTTTAAGCCTGTTAAATTATTAATATTGGAAATTTATGAGGCGCCGGTATTGATTCGAGATGCTGTACAGAACTGCCAAACAAATTATGATGGCGTCATTATACATCTGATGGATAACCAGGTAATATCGACAACTGTAAATAAAATGGAAAGTAATTAGTATTAGTTTTTATCACAGGCATGGAATACACATGCAAGAATACTGTCATATTCAGAACTGCAGTCCCGTTTCCCCAAAACTGTAGGTGTAGGATCGGGGTTGCAGTTTCTGAATATGGCCGTTTAATTTATTTATAAAATTGTTGGTGGTGGTGGTATTAGAGAGATAGGAGTTCATTCCTAGTTTCATTTTTGTTTAATTTGTACTATCAAATATTACCATTCATTCATTCATTCCTTAATTGATTGATTCATTCAATTTTTCATTCATACATTCGAACCAACAATTCATAATAAAATAATTATAGGGCCTATATCTATACCATTCCCATATAATTGGTGCCATATCGTAATGGTATTGGAGCAAGGCACTGAGGGTTCGTCCTTCAAGTGACTGCAGTATCTCTGAAACATTTCCCCGGACGTTCGGCTATTCCACATTGGGCATCTTCGACAAGAACGTCGAGATCATGATGATGACACAACCGCAAGATAATTTCATAATCTTATATAACAGTACAGTTTGGTACTTTGTATAATACGTATTACACAAAACTTCCAAGGACATAACGTTGCTGCGACCCCTAGTTAAGATATATAGGTCTGGGACGTTCCGTTTTAAGGGTCCCCAGAGGCACACCCTTTTATTAACATTGTCAATGGAATTGTTGTCAATAAAGACAGCATCAAAATTGGTTGGATTCTTTTTGCAGCTAAAAACAATCTTCACTATTTTTTTTTTTTAATTTATTTATTTATTTATTTTTTTGCATTAAGAGTTACGTGATTTTCGTAGGCTTAGGAGTGGGCTGCTGTAGCCAGAGATCGTAATTTACACAGGTTCCTGGGACCACACGGTCATAAACAGTTGTATCATCCATGTAGGCCTATTTAATACATGCTTCCCCAGTTAAAAGGTCATTGACAAAAATAATAAACATTAGACCTACAGGTCCTAGCCATGATCCCTGGGGGAACCCATGAGGACACCGCTTTGCCCACTGTGATATGATGATGACGATTCAACCCATTTGACTAGATGTTCATCAATCTCAACGTTTTTCAATTAAAATCGAATGGTAAACAAGATCATAAGCCTTTTTAGAATCAATAAGTAAAACCTTTACTTGACAAGAATCTGTGGTAGAAAAGCATTCGTTGAGGAATGATATAAGTTAATCAACAGTTGAAACTCCATTATACAGTACAACCAAACTGACTGAGATGAATTTTATCTTTGGCTTGAGTCAAGATCATTTCACCAATTAGACTTTCAACAACCATTGCCATGACAGGTGTTAATACAATTGGGCGGAGGTCACTCTCAGTATTTTTGGGAGAGATACCTTAGGGATGGGGACAACATCGGCGTGTTTCCACACCCGGAGAATATAACCCTCACTTAAACTAGCATTGGCAGTAGCATAGCACTCTCTTTTAATATCCATGGTTGGATCCCATCTGGTCCAGGGGCTTTATTGCACTTAACCTCTGAAAACTTCTGCCTAGCATATTCCTGCTCAATACTAGGCCTAAGGTAATTCAGGACTTGTTGAACACCAATCTTCTCTTTATTGGATTGCAAGGAATTTGTTATAGGCCCCAAAAAAGGTATTTAATAATTCAGCTAGTTCCTCCTTGTTTCCCTGGCAGACAGAGTTTGCCAGCCCCATAAGTGGATTTAATGCCATACTATCCTACCAGGTACCAGTTTATACTCCTGTGTGGAGAGAGGCAAACGTAAGTAAAGTGCCTTGCCCAAGGACACAAGCAATGCAAAGAGCGTCGGTCTCCAACTCCCGATCTCACAACACCTTACACACTCACCACACGCTCCTACAATATGGGTTGGTAGTGTGTTAAAAGATTTTTCTTGATGTAATTGGCTGAATTAAATTATTTTTTGATTTGTCAGGCATACAAAAAAATAATCTAAACAAGAATGAATACTAACTAAAATGCAATCATTAAAGTCTAGTAAAATGAGAGAGTTGCCATTACAGAAAATTGACATACTGTTTAAAATTTACCGATTCGTATGTTGTGCACGTTATAGTTGGGTTATGACAGAAACTGATGTTAAAAACTGGTCGAGGAATTTAAATGAAACTTTCTAGATTGATTTATCATGGTCCAAGAAAAACTGATTGGATATAACTGAAAAGTTACTAGTTGGCTGGTTGGTTAATAAGACATTTAAGACGTTCGCTTTATAAGTGACACTTCCCTGGCTTGAATCCCTGTAGCGGTAGGGATTATGTTTTTATTTGTTTTTTCTCAAAAGAAAAAGATGCGTTTGAATTTTATTTATTCTGAATTTTGATGTGGGCGCAGGTATACACTTTAAGAGTGTGATCTGGTTATTATTATTTATAATTATTAACAGTATTGGTATTTTAGTGAACCCAAATGACTAATAACATATATGTTTCTGCCGAAGCATATAGCTCGCTAGAAAAAATCTTTGTGCACTTACATGTGTATGTACAGGTCTATTCGTTGTGTTCGGTATACCTCAAGCAATACTACCCGCTCCATTCAACTCTGTAAACATGACAACAAATTTACCATTATTGATCATACTCATATAATATTGCGATTTATTGTACCTCCAATTCCCAACCTAGTACAGTTGGAAACAGATACAGTCCGCCCTCCAATTCGAGACCCCCCTTCTAATTCCGAGATCCCTCTTATTCGAGATCACTTTTTCAAAGTACCAACTGGCCACCTATCTTTTAACACTGAGCTTAACCCCTGATTACGAGACCCATCCAATTCGAGAACGAGACCACCTTTATGGAAGCACCAAGCGACCAAAATAAAACCAAAAAAAAAAAAAAAAAAAAAAAAAAAAAAAAAAAAAAAAAAAAAAAAAAAAAAAAAAAAAAAAAAATTAAATTTTTTAAAAAAAAAAAAAAAAAAAAAAAAAAAAAAAAAAATAATAATAAAAATAGAATCAAACAGATTTAAGTTTTTTTAAAACAATAAATACTCTTTAATTTGAAAAATTGAACTTCAAAATTATAACAGAAGTAGCGGCGTAGCTAGGTGCAAAAGCGCTCCGATTTAAGATTAATTGCCAAGCCCTTTGATGTGATAGGGGAATTCCCTATAGTTAAATTGAGCGTATAAGCAAAGGCCTAGGTTAGAAATAAATACTATTGATAATCGGATTCGTATTCGGATTTTAAGAGGGGAAAATACGGTCTCAGCAGTTGTTCTAACCTAATTTTGACAGGTGGAGGAGGAAGACCACCTCACTCCCACCATGGTTGGGGCTGAGGTAAGACAATTTAGATTATAGCACCTCTAGATGGCCGGAAATGGCACTTTCAGACTTCAGACTTTCAAAAAATAGGGGTCGGGCAGGCTGGTGGCCCGGGCTTGAATGCACCATATAGAACTCAGTAATCAATAATTACTCCTCTAAAAACCGCATATTATTGAGGGTCCCGCTGGCTATTTTTTTCTTCAAAATTAATTTTTAAAATATTTTAATTATTAATTTTAGGTCTATTTATGAATGGGCCTATAATTGCCCTGGTCAAAGTGCTTTGCACTGGCTGCACTGCACGTAGTACGCCGCCACTGGCGGCTGGGGCTCCAACAATGGCGTTATAGTACTGAAGTGGTCGTGGCCCTTTTAGTACTTGTCTCTACCCCCTCCCCCAACAACGAATCCAGCACACGGGGCTTTTATCCCCAAATTTATCATGGCCGTGAGGAACTTTCAAACTAATTAGAGAATTGCCTATTGAAGATTGGGAATAAGGAAAGGCCAAGTAACACAAAAGAAAATAACATCTTTCTTTATGTAAAGGATGGACATTTATACCTAAATCTAGCTTTCAAATAAAGTGTAAATGTTATGTTTAATTTACAGTATCTGTTTAGATTTTTTCTTCATTGTGTTTTAAACAGCTTCACGTTGCTGAAAAAATTATAAGCAAACAACAGCTTCTTTGAAATACATAAATAGTTGTCCCATTTTGTCTTTTGTAGACCACTTTTATCTTTGGTCTTCATTTGGAGGTTTCAGGTTCTTTTACCCTCCAATTATGCTGCTTGGGGACAACTTCAAGCCTGTGGTCTCTATTTAGAGGTTTCTAATTTGAGACCAAACCCCGAGACAACCCCAAGTTTCAGATACACAGAGTGTTTTCGAATTGGAGGGCGGACTGTATTACATTTTCTTGCAATTTAAAAAAAAAGAATGTAATTATTTAATATTTCATTTCTCACACATCTCGATATCTTGAAGACTTCTTCTCAGTGAAGCCCGATACGGCGACCGTGCATAGAAAAATTAATAGCTAGCAGGCTGTCAACATTCAATCCTTTAAAAACCTCTCCATAGCACAGAGCATGAATTTTGTAAATTAAGATAAACCGCAATCTGAGATCTCGCACCCAACCTTATGGAATGCTTTAGCGATTGACGCCTGAATAATAATAATAATAATAATAATAATAATAATAATAATAATAATAATAATAATAATAATAAAAGATTCGTATAGCGACACTATCTTTTAGCTGTTAGTATCTTTCGAAGTCATCAAGATTTTGTAAACTTGCAGAAGCTGCAAGACTAGACGTTGATCTCATGTATTTGGAAGAAAAAAAAAGAAGATAAGAACTTGAGATCAAAGCTATACAAACTGAACTAGCAAGGATGAAGGTAAAAAATGAGTTAGTTGCCGTCCGACCAGAAATTGAAATAGAGTAGTATAATGACTTAAGAATTATTACCTACCATAAATAGAAAAAAAACCCCAAAAAACAAGAGACTCAACCGAAAGTAGAAGTTGATTTCAAAGCCGATTTTTCAGAAAACGTGCTTTCGAAATTAGCTGATTAACTTTCAAGAGACTACCTTCATGACCAAGACATGAAGGAGATCTACTACATTATCCTCATTGGGAAAAAAACGTTCTCCCGAATCGGCCTCCGATAAATTATACCTAGGTAGGCCTACCTACACCGATGGACTTGCCAAACAAGCAATTTCGGGTCTACTCGAGCTTCATAGAGAGGCATTCTCAAAAGACAAGAAGCTGCTAGACCAGAAATTCGGGGATCTGTTACAATTGCTGGCGCTTACAGGCGCAAGATATATGATTGGCCCTGTTTTAAGTTTGTTTAATAAACGCATCGTTTCTTTTTTCTCAACACAAAGGTGGCGATGAGTCATACAGCATTGCTAGCAGTAACAAAAACGTAAAAATAGCGGAAAGTTTCCCAAGCACTGTACGGAAGATGGAGAAGATACATTCAGTGATTTCCTTAAAAATGAAGCTAAAATCGTCAACAATCCAGTATTATAAACCATTATAAGATGAGAATACTAATAAATGTACAGCAACGGTTACACTAAAGAACAAAAAAACATCGCTCGCTAGGAGTTTTTCTACTACAACGACTGGCAGACGGCTAGAGTGTGGAGTGTGTTCTAAAGATCACTATGTAGAAAACTGTGACGAGTTTCTAAGTAAGACGTTTGAAGAAAGGACACATATTGAGGGATTGTAGAATAAAATGAAGGTGCGACACATTCAGCGGTAGAAATCCTACGGCTCTTTTTGATCCAGAATCTAAGTCACAACCTAATGAAAAATTGTAACATCATTCAGAGCAAAAACTAGTTTATCTAACTCGTTAATCGTACCCGTATATATGGCTCATACCAGTAATCCGCAAAGACGAATACTTACCTATTAGATATCCCATCGGATGAGTGATTTATGAAGACATCTATTAAGGAAAAGCTAGGATTAAAAGGCTCAAAATAGAAAATAGATTTAGTCTACGCTCTTCGATAAAGACGTAATTGATTGTCAGATTGTAAGGGGTTAAAATTTTGATTTTAAAAGTTTTTAAGACTTATACAATACTACTACTATAAGGCATAATCAAATACCTGAATCAACAGATGGCTGGCATCACCTTAAAGTTATAAACGACCAAATTATGCCTTATAATAAAAAAGAAAATCGTAGGTACACTAATTGACGCTTACTGCACGAGGGCCATTAAACCAAGAATGGCACTACCAAAAACGACGCCGATCCACATGACATCAAAACAAGTCTCGGTTGGGGAATAATTAGTGTTGTTAAAGAAGATTAATAAAAGCACAGGTACCTTCCATTATGCTTTCAGAATAACTTTAAACGTCCCAAATATGTTCGGAGCCGACTTTTTAGATGAAAGCAAGTAAACAACCACATCAAACTTGTCAACAGTCACTTTCAGATGCCATAACTTATTATTATTAGGCCTACTATTAGGTCTATTATGGTGAGGGTAATAATTGTAATAATTATAAATTGTATAATAATAGCCTGTTTTCATTTTACTTTTTTTCAATTTAAGCGATATATTTTAATAGTTAAAGGTAATATTTTGACATTTTTCTTAAATTTGTATATATAAATTTATTCTTTTTATGTAATGTTTTACACTATTTTATCTTATATGGTACGGCAATTACACATTATCAAGCCTACCATTCATTCAGGCATTGATTGATGAATTTATTCTTTTATACATACATATCATTCAAACAATTAATTCACAATGACATAATAATTATAATCCATAGGCCTACCTAGTCCAAGCACCTCAACCTCACAGAGCGTCAGATAGTTGTTCTGCAGCGTGACACTGACGTATTGTCCTTTAAGTGGTGGAATGCACTCTAGAAATATCTCGGCCGAGTCGTTGATTTCTGCATCGGTTATTTTTCCCCCACATTGGGCATTAGTCAGCATACCCTTAGGGTCATCTCCGACATGAATGGTTGCGCCATCCAATCGTTCCTTGCAGCAATCTTAAGCAAAATGTAAATATATCCAATGTATATATATTATCTTTCAATAAATACTGCCAAAAAATCTCTTTGCTTCTTGTACCATTATGCATAGAAATATTAAAGGCTTGCAGCAATCTTAAGCAAAATGTAAATACATCGAATCTATATAGTATCTTTCTATAAATACTGCCAAAAAAATCTCTTTGCTTCTTGTACCATTGTTATGCATAGATATATTAAAGGCTATTAACCAACGATACATCCCATAAGACGTTTTCTAACTTGGTAGACCCTACTTTTCCATGACCTTGTGGATTGCCCTTTCAGCTGTTCTAAATTTTCGCGATTTTGATGAAGTATTTCGTGGCCTTCTATTTTCGGGATTTAACATGTACGTAAATGAATTTCGCGACAATAACTCGCAAAATTTCAGGAAGCTCAGTAAGTTTTTAATAGTATACTGTCAACCAGGCTGAGTACAATACCTAAGCATTAGCTAGAAGTATTCTGACTTTTGGTGTCTGTGTATAATGTTTTTTTTCTGGACAAATAACTGACTGGCCACCGGAAAGTCCCAGTCTCTGCTGAATGTTATGGGCCTGTACCATTACATTTCATTAAGGTTACGATGTTTACCAATTTTGTCGATATTCTTCCTACATTCTATACATTATTGTTTTTAAAACGGAAAAAAAATAAAACCATAGGGAAAAGCCGAAAAACCAGAACAAAAACAATGAATTGTTTTGCTTCTGCGAGAAAAGCCACATAAAGGTTTCGTAATATCTTTATTACAGAAATCGCTATCGTTCTTATGACAAAACTATCGTAGCTTTCAGCAATTTTATATAGTTTCACGATCGTTTTTTTGGGGGAAACATCTTTGTTCAAATTTTCTCCATTTTTGCGTACCCGTAATTTTCGTGATCGTTTTCTTATCGCAAATTTCGCAAAATATAAGGGCACGCGAACAAAATGGGATCGATTATTTGATATGAACAAAATAACATGAAGGGTAAGCAATGGAAGTCCGACGACCTATCAGTGGGGTTCTCTGGTGGTAATATTGGAAACATTCATTTCCAAATAGTGTACTGCATTCTCTAACGTGCAAATGGCGATCTCTTCAAAATGTGGTGCACATTTCAGTGAATAAAATTAAACCGGTATTAATGGATCTCCATGTTATTATTGCTAGCAAATTGTATATTCAACTTGTTCCGACCATGGAGAAAATAAAATTTATTTTTATTTATAAATTTAAATTTATTTTATTTTCTCCATGTTCCGACGGTGTGAGTTACACAGGTAGTATCGTAGTAATTGAACAAACGCTGGCGCCACCCCTGGTTGAAACATCCTATAATGTGAACGTGTTGACATACCTTCTCGATTGTAAATTTTCACACCATAAATCAAGGAGGATTTTTCTAGATCTACCATCCACCAATTTTCAGCTTCATTCTCTAGATGTAAGAAAAAAAATTATTATTGTTATTGGTATTATTATTATTAATATTATTATTATTATTATTATTATTATTATTATTATTATTATTATTATTATTATTGTTCTTGTTGTTGTTGTTGTTGTTACTGTTATTGTTGTGTTGTCGTAAATATGGTGTTGTTTTTAGTTAAACTAAAAGAACTCTAATACATCATTATAGGCATACCCGTTTCTAACAAAACATGCAGCTCAATTCAAAAGTGAGTGTGGGCCTACTTACGAGTGTGTGTACAGCTTTTTTGTCCGTAGTCGGTATCAGTATTTCCATCAACTGCTCTTCCCGGGACTCCATCCCATCCAATAGAACTCTGCGTAGCAGGACGTCCGGCACTCAATAAGTCTATGAAAATGACAGCGAGTGTACTACGTGTAATATTATACTCAATATAGTACATACCACCAATTCCAAACTATTGCAATTGGCCGGAAATGAATATTACTGTTCTTGTAATTTAGACTATGATGTAAAATGCTTTATAAATGTTGTTTGAATCGTTAGTCACGCCATTCTATACTGGGAAAAGTTTGTTTTTTCAAGTCCGCTTCGGTGAGCGTGCTGTATCGAAATTAAATAGTTTGCAGGATCAACATTCAATCCTGGTGCTTCTTCAGAACACAAAGTTTTGTAAATAAAGATAAATGGCAATCTCGCCCCAAAATTATTGAGTGCCCTACCTCTTAACATCTGAATAATTTTAAATAATACATATGATTTTGCATCGTGACATCATCTTCTGGTTGTATCTTTAGGAAATTGTTAAAATCTCTGAATTTTCCCCTCCATACATGCGGATTGTTGTGTTACTGAATTTTGTGATTTTTGTTGTGAATTTGCCGTTGGAGTTATTTATGACTTCCTTATTTGTAGGCCTACCATCAATCATTGTACTTCATTCATTCATTTATTCATTCATCCATTTATAATAACAATTTTATATCCAGACACCTCGACCGCACAATTATAAACAGCAATCTTGCCCTATATATTATAGAATACTCTGCCGCTTAATAGTGTCGTACGAATTGTAGCAAAATCAAAGGTTGCATATTTTCTAAAAAAATGGATATCTTGTAAAATAGTCATCACTGAATATAAAAAAGTATGTGCAACATTTTTTATGCGGAAGTGGGTAGCCAACAATTTCAAAATGGCCGCCATTTTTAAACCTTTTATTACCATTAATTGTACTTTTACGATATTAAAAGATGCTAATATACTAAATATTATTTCACATAAGTGACAATAAATATAAAATAACATTTTACCTCAAATGTGCAAAGCTCATATACAAAATAGACCCCATTTTAATTATTTTAGCTATTTGTAGCATATATGTAAATTCAGCTAATTACTTAATTAGTCCTTGTCTATTGTGCAACATATTCGATTAAGAAAATACAGCCAAAAAATGCGACCATCTAAAGTTTGCTGGACAATAACATCTAAATAATAATAATAATAATAGTAAATAGGATTTATATAGTGACATCACCTTCTTTAAATAACTTTAAGAAATTGTTAAAATCTCTTATTTCATCTTTTCTACACCCCGTTCAGTTTTGTTTTTGTTTTTGTTTTTTGTTTTCTTTTTTTTTCTTGTTATCGTGATTTTTGTTGTAAATTTGCCGATGGAGTTATTTGTATTCTGAGTTTTGAGTTGAGTTTTTTCTTCATTATTTGTACTATTAAATTATTATTATTATTATTATTATTATTATTATTATTATTATTATTATTATTATTATTATTATTATTATTATTATTATTATTATTCTTTCTTTTGGCACACAACACATGTGCCAAGGATTGCCAATAGCGAATATATATCACTGTCCTACTTGTAGGTGACAATCCCTTACACTGAAAAATCGTAAAATTTTGTAATTAATTACACATTATAGACTTTTTTAATAGCTGCAATACACCGATTATCAAAGTCATTATACGTAAGCCTTGTTAAATTTATTAGCTGGTAAAATATTTCCTTTAATCAATATAATATTTATTCTGTCTCTTATACACATCTGTGTGATACCCTCTACCTCACCCCAACCCCCAGTATAGAAAACAATACGACATAGGGCCTATCTTATATATAATATATTAGGCCACACACGTGTGTTTTAAACTGAATACTGTATAAGCATTTTCATTATGGTTTTATTTATTACAAACATATTCTTTCACCATCAATACACATTGGGGCTCTTCTTTTATTATGGTAAAACGATCTAACTTCAATTTTCTTTCTCCTTAAGTTTGAACTATTATGTATTCAATTAACTAAAAAATTTGTAGTTTCATGCCAATTTTGTCGGAATTGATCAAAAATCCTCTCAAAACTCCCTAAAATGTGCAATTATCAGTGAAAATTGGCCTACCTTAACAAGAAATGCGGAGGGGTGGGGAAATTGGACATTTTTAGGCACTTTCATGTGTGGTTTCGCCACTGCGGAGAGTATCTGGTGGCTTAGCTTACTTGTTTATAAAAATTTCCCCAGTAAAATTGTGTGTATCCTGACATCATAATTTAGGCCAAAGTAAGTTAGTGTCCAACTGTGGGCCAACCAGGCCAATTTTGGCAAAATAAATGTTGAGTCTTTTCTAAATCAGCCCTATACAAAAAAATAGCTTGTTGACCTATATTAAGTAGTACGATATCAAAACCGACCGACGCAAGTCGATAATCTGGGCAGTAGCATAGGCCGGTCGTGTGTAGCGAAGCTACATCCAAACCTTTTAGAACAGTTTTTACGGCATCGTGTGCAGAAATACACAGACATGACAGTTTTTTAATATGTGATTGAGTTATGTCCATGTAATGAGCTTTAATTTGATATAAAATTTGCTATGTTAATATGATTTTTATTTAAATGTCACATACATTTTGCATATTATATAGAAAAGGGGTGCGGCTTAAATTACCTTTATTGGCGTATAGACACCTCACAATACATTTTAAGTGTATAATGTCCACATTATGAGCTTCAATTTGATACCAAACTTGATATGTTTATATGAACCCTTTATTTTTACATATTTATATAGTATATATATATGTAAAAAATGGCCTAAATGACGCCATCAGATTGTTCGGAATTTTTGGCACCCCTTTTAGGATTATTAGTTGGACCGCAAAGACGGTTTATGTCAAATGTGGTGCTTTTGTCACAAAGTGCAATATCAGCCTAAATTTTGGATAAGCAACTCTATATCAGAACCAGTAAAATGTTGCCCAGGCTCAGTGTTTTTATTTTTTGACCGATTTCAGGCTCAAATTGTTCTTATTTTGTTCTTATAAGAGAATTACTGTTTTACTTAGTATATTACTGTACTGTAATATAGAGGGTATTACATCTAATCTGTACCAATATGCTGACGACACAGTAATTTTTAGACCAATAGAGAGCTTTCGATTGCACGACGACGGTAGGACGTAAAACGTAATGACGTCAGTAAAATTCATCTGACCATAGAGAAAATAGTTCTATTTTCTCTATGATCTGACTGAGCATGCGAGATGGTTTAGGTCACCTCGTCGATAAGATTCTGCGCAATTTGGCTAAATCTACGTACGCAGAGAACGTAGGACCCCAGGCTTGGTAGGACGCCAGGTAGGACGATCACGCATGAGTGATTCCGTTCTAGCGTCTCGTCATCGCACAAATCGAAAGCCAATAAGAAATTTATTTCGTTGTTTCCCTACAAAGTGACCTTAACATCATTCTTAATTGGTCTGACGTGAATCTAATGCAGTTAAACACTTAAAAATGTAAAACAATGCATACCGTATACCTCGGTCTTCCCGGCATGCCAATAATCCATTTGATGGAAATATGCAGGAAGTTATAAAAATCTATGAAATCAGTTGTTTGAAAAATCGTAAAATTTTGTAATTAATTACACATTATAGACTTTTTTAATAGCTGCAATACACCGATTATCAAAGTCATTATACGTAAGCCTTGTTAAATTTATTAGCTGGTAAAATATTTCCTTTAATCAATATAATATTTATTCGAACAGTGGTCGAACCTTTGTCAAAACTTGTCTCCTCCTGACCCAAACAATATAGGCCTATAATTAGATCAATTAAAAGTGATACGAGATGTATACACAAAATCATTTGTTTGAAAATGTACATTATTTTAATTAATTACATAGTATTAGACATTTTTTTTAATAGCTGCAATACACTAATATTAAAAGTCATTAAATACGTAGGGCCTAAGACTTGTTAAATTTGCTTGGCGATAAAATATTTCATTTCATTTCAAGTCAAGCCAATATCATCAATGGTCGAAAATAACAAATAGGCCTAATATCTAATAGAGAATACAAAACAACAGGACCATTATTTGGATTAAAAATTGTCTTATCATGACACATTAAAACATAAAAGAAAAAAGAAAAGAAAATAATACATATCAATGTGTTTGCTCAACTGCAAACGCGCCGCCGTTTAAATCACAATTTACAAAATATTTGTTTTCAAATATTTAGCTCCATCATTTTTGGGTTGAATTACGAAAATATAAGCGATATTAGCGTGTTTTCAGCGGGATTTAAGCCGGTATATGAGGAGTCGTTTATTTACGAAGTCATAATTTTGCCTGTAGGCCTACCAATCCATTTGCTAAAGTTGCAACGGCAACCCATTTGCTAAAGTTGAAACGGCAACAGAAAGACAATTTTCTTACAATCAGTTAGGCCTATACAATATATTGAAAATAATCTCATTGGATAAAATTTTCTTCCGTCATTTTTTCATAGGCTTTCAAGAAGAAAACTGACCGAGCTAACAGCCTCTGCCGCCCCAGGGATCTGGGAGCGTTTCATTTTGTGAACTGATGAAAATATGGTTCCGTGTTGTATCAATCAAGGCTTGTTAAAATTCAATAAATATATTGGACTTATGTTATTTTTACAGTGTTACGAATAGATTGGGAATTTATCTTTAATAATGTTCACGAGTAATTGATCGTTTAATGAAGTGCATTTTTATATACCGGTACCCTTTTCGAATAATAAAGTCGTCAAATAGTGCCGCTGCAGGACGCTCAATCAGTTTTGCTTTCGTACATATGTGCGCACCTCTTTCTGTCTGATGTTTATCATCAAGTAATTTTGAGTTCCAGCAAGGTAATTTAACAAAAGGACGCACATCTCCGCTCTCGAACATAGCGCGTGCGTACAGTCCTTTGATCTTTACTGTGGCATCGACAATCCGATACTAGTTGCGAGTACAGCCGTCAATTATTAGTCTATGCGCTGTCTCTTATACACATCTAGATGTGTATAAGAGACAGGTGGAAATAGTCTGCCTTGCTCAAGGGCACAAGCAAAATGCACAG